CTCTCTCTCTCTAAAACCAGTCTTGATCACTGCTACCCAGAATCAGATAACAAGTCTGAAAGCAAAAGGGGTCTCTGAAATTTGAAAAAGATTCAAAGCTCAAAGTTCCCACAACACATTTGCTGTTCAATTCTTTCATTCTTTGGGCCAAACCATATAAAGATTCAATCTTTGAAGGGAAATTGAAAGGCTAAAGAGGGAAAGAAAATGGTGCCCAGGAATCAAATCAAAAGACCCAAAAGAAATAAGAAGAAGAGAGAGGGATTAAAGCAGGGAGAAAACCAAAGAGAGGGAATAAATTTTCTTCTCGTTTTTGTTTGTTTATTTATTTATTTTTTCTGGGTAATTTCCATCGACTGTCGTTAAATTTTTTTTCAGCATTGAAAGAAACGGCCCTCTCTGTCAAAATCCATCAATCTTTCGAGTTTTTTGTTACCAGTTCGAACTCCGATGCTTATGTTCTTCTCCTCCATCAGTTTTTCAGAAATTCAAACACCAGAAAAAGTAGAAAACTTTCTGTTTGTTTCCCGGAAACTGAGAGCAACAACAAAAGAACAAGGCAGGGGATGAGATTTTAATGCTTTGTTTTTGTTTCCTTGCATTTTCTGGATCTTCATCTTCTCCCTCTATTCGGAGAAACTTGTTTTTGTTTGAATTTTTGTTTCTTAGCTCTTGCAGTCGCAAACAACCACCCACAACCAAATTCCAGATTCTCATCTTTGCCAAGCGGAAGTCGTCGGTTCTCCGGCAGTTGCAAGAAAATACCGGGCGGCGATGGTGGATGTCGGGGGCTGAGAGGAATTGGAGGGTAACAATTAGAAGGTTGGGGAAGGGCCTCGGGAATGAGTTCAATTTTTTAAAATAAAAAAATTCATTTATTGATTATTTTATAAAAGATAAAATTATTTGACTTTAGTGAGGCAGATGGCGCTATTGGATTGGAAGGGAACACCACCTGCACTGCTGAGGTGTGTGTTCCCGTTATCCCTAAAATTTTCTCGTCACGTGTGGTTATACTTAACAAAATCTTCTGTCGTGGGCCTAGAAGTCGTGCCATGAATAGTAACTGCCTAGTCCCCCCTCCCCAAAACGTACACACCACGTCCTTGCCTAGTGGAAACAGGGAACACCACCTACACTGCTGAGATGTGTGTTCCCGTCATCCCTAAAATTTTCTCGTCACGTGTGGTTATACTTAACAAAATCTTCTGCCTAGAATTCGTGCCATGAATAGTAACTGCCTAGTCCCCCCCCTCCCCCCTCCCCCCAACCAAAACGTACACACCACGTCCTTGCCTAGCGGAAACGGATTTATATGTCTAAATACTATTATCTTTCGTTTGGACAATTTTTATTGGACATTCAGAATTGGCAAAAACCTCATGCAACGTAATGCATGACTACCACTTTATAAATATGTCAACGATGAGCCTTAAGTTGGACCATGCTCCACAATCCAAAACTCTATTTGTGTGCTTTAGAATCTAGGCCTTGGAGTTGCGTGTGGAAGCATATAGTCTGCATTATTAATTGAGAGTTGAACTATATATATAATAACAAGGGCAGAGGTAGAACCCAATATAAGTTTAGGGTGATGTTATCCACACATCATTTTTACCGTTTAAACACCTCATGTGAATTTTTATTATTTGATTTTTTTCAATTCATTTGATTCGAATGTCAGAAATTGAAAATGGTGTGTAAGAAGTAAAAAGAGGTGTGTGGATCGCACCACTCTAAGTTTAAGTTGTGATCATTCACAGGCACCTACATTCTATATATTCCGGTTTAATTAGAAATGGTCAAGCACATTTCGTGTACACGTAAAACACTTGATTAGTAAACACAGAAAACGTTACATCTTCATATAAAGGCATGGGAGATCCAACTTTCAACTTTGGGTGGTATATTGATTTGGAGTCTATAATCCATGTTTAGGATAAGGTCACCTAAACAAAAATTCAAAGTCTGCCTTAACTAGTTAATTAGCTGGGTAGGCAGGTCCCTACGACCAAGGGCTAGCTTACATGAGAGCTCAAAGTTTCCTAATAAGGTTTTAATATATAAACGTCAAGTAATTAACTTAAGTTATAATTTGTTTACATGTTATAATATAAATAAATGTCCAATGAAATATTATGTACGTATCCCACAAAAGAAAAACATATCAGTCATGGTGTTACTCATATTAAAATGAACACTATGAATTCAGTATTGTTCATTGTCTTTTGGGATATTGACTAGTAAGTTTTGAATTCCAAATCGCTATTGTTGCCATTCTTTCAAGTCTCAACTTCAAGTTGGCAGTCAAATATTCAAAATATAAATATCAATATAAATCTATGTATGTGTGTATGTATATCTCCGTTTGATTGATCTAATGGATTCAGCAATTCCACGTTAGCAATTTCGTTTTGATTACTCATCCTTCAATCCTTCCGACGTCTTCTATTACAAACCATCTTCCAAAATTCCCAGTTATTGCTGCTATCTCTCAACGGTTAAACCTCAAACCCTCATCCCTCCTCGCTCGTCAGTCGGTTTAGTGCATCATGTACATCTTATCTAAAGTTTGCTCTCTGTCCTCCGCGTATTTGAATCCTTTCATATTACACAAATTACGAGGAATATAACGTCATGTTTCTAGAAGGGTGAAAACTGGTTTTACAATAAAAGTAACAAAACAGTAAAAGTATAATAAAAACTGTATAGTTTCAATGCCTCTGTAAGTTGAATTTTAAAAGACAAATTAGATGTCCGGATTTCATTTAAAAAGGATCAGAAGAGGCCGGTGTGGGTGAGACTGACGAGGGATGAGGGAGGAGGGGTTGGGGTTGGGGTTGGGGTTGGAGTTGGAGTCGTTAGACTGTTGGAGATATATGGCAGCTGTGAAAAATCTGGGATAATGAACTTTTGTAAAGTGTGACGGGTCGTGGGGATGGGAAACGAAAAATTGAATCATTAGGGTTTGTGAATTGTGATGGGAAGAGGCAAGTGATACGGTACAAAAGGTGAATTTTCAATTTAGTATGATTATATACTGATGTGGAATAACAATTCTGTTAGATTAATCAAATAGTTAAGATTTTGTCAAGTGCATGTAAATGCACTGAGGCTAAATATAGAGACTCAAGATTCCATTCAAATACATGTTTACACTTTCAAATGGGCGGGTATATATATGGTCTCAATCAGTTAAACATGTTCTGTAATTACAATTAACCTTTATAGACAATCCGATAATCTTATCGTTGGTGTAGAGGAAAATAGTTTGAGAGAGAAAGGGATTGAGAGATTCAATCTTTTAGGGGTATATGGATTACTCTAGGGATTTAGGATTTAAAAGATTTTAGGGATTTAGAGATTCAATTTTTTCGGGGTTTATGGATTCATTTTAGGGTTTTACCGTTTTGGATATCAAGTTTTGTAAAAGTATGCCTTGTTTTGTTGTTTATTCTGTTTTTGATTTTTTTTTTTAAATTGAAACCATAAATAAATAAAATAAAAAAACCCATGATTATCAATATCATCATCCATCCACAAATTGAATGAGTTAGCTATTTTTGTCAATTGAAAAGGAATTAGCTGAAAAATTAGATTATGTAAACTTATTTAGCATATTTGCGTATAAAAACGCGAGACATGTAATATATAAATAATGTTCGTATATATTTTCTTTTGATATTAATTGTAAATGATATTTGATGTATAAATAGACTTTTTCATGTATTTAGAAAACTTTTTTTATTTTTTTTTATACATATTAATGTACAAAAGGTCAGAGTCCAAAAAACTCTAGGCCCTCACTTTAAAGGCTTGCCTAGGGCCCCAAATTCTAAGGGCCTACCCAGACAGCTAGGGCTGATGGCTAAACATTTTGTTAGTAAGACTAACTACACACCGGTGAGAAAAACTCATTTAGAAAGAAAAACTCTCACTCAAAAAGAAAAACTCTCGCTTACGGAGAAGCCGAGTTATTGAAGATGAGATCACTAAGCTTCTGAGAGTACTTATTATAGCACTGTACTAATCTTCAATATTAGCAAAATACCGTTACTTAACTCAACCTTTTTTTTCCTTTCTATTATAGAGTTGGGTCGTTGCCGCCATAATAGCTGCGCTGGTTTCTTATGCATAATGCGTGCAAAGGCTTTTACGTAGTTTTGGCGGCCGATTGGAAAAGAATATGAACAATTCGTCAAATATTATCTAATATTATTGCGACGTAGAGCCCATTGAAAAGTAATTCAAATGACTTTTTTCTTTTGGTGAAAAGTATTCCAATGACTGAATGACACAGATTGTGAAATCGTGAGCAAAACAAGTTGACCTATATACATGTCTAATCTAAAACGACATGCTATAGTGATCGATGTTTGATCGAGGGTGGTACTATCACAATTTTTTTTCTATACATTTCAAAATACTATTTTTAATTTTCGATCATCAAATTAAATAAAAAAAATATGATAAAAAAATAGAAATGAAATAAAAACTGAAAATAAAATAATATTAAACGACTCCTATATTTTTGTAGTATTACAAATTGTTGTCCAATTATTTTCGCAGCGCCAAATAATGTTCCAATTTATTGTTACCAAATGTTGCATATGACATGCCAAAATGCCATTTGCCAATTGCAACGTCCTTCTCTTCATTCCTCAACCCACCATGTCATATGTCATCGATCAAATTCGGATGATATATATATATAAAGTTACTCCTAGCATTATTAATTGCAACTACATTTGCTACCAACAATCCTATAGTTGAAGCGCCCTACAATATTATCAAGTTCCTCGCCCACCAAATAACTATACTTATATTATATTATCAGTCATGATAAAAAATTTTGTTGTATACTAGTCGATCTATTGGGAGAAAAGTAACAAAGGAAAGTTGTGCACCCAATCACTTTACGCGCTTTATAACCCAAAGTAATATTGGCCAAAACCATGTACCTCACGACTGCTTCCCTTCTATATAAAGAACCCAATAACGTAAGCCATGCACACCATATTTCAAACACACAAGTTCAGCTAGCTCTCTAGTCTCCCAATCACCCATTTCATCATTACATTTCTTGATAAAAAAGCCATACAAAATGGCAATTCGATTTTACTCGACACTTTATTTGGTGATTTGTCTCTCTCCATTAATCATTTTTGGTTACTCTCCCAATGATGTGAAAACATGGTGTAGCCAAACCCCTCACCCACACCCATGCGAGAGTTTTCTAAGCCATAACCCAAATAATATCCCCATCAAAGGTAAGTCCCAATTCTTCAAGATATCAACCCAACTAGCCCTAGACCGTGCCATACTTGCTCACACCAACTTGTATTCACTTGGCTCAAAGTGCCAAAATGCACATGAAAAAGCTGCATGGGCTGACTGCCTTGAGCTTTATGACTACACAATCCAAAAGCTCAACAAATCCATAGATCCCGTCACCAATGGCGCTACTCAAAACGACGCTCAATCTTGGCTCAGCACAGCTCTCACGAACCTTGAGACATGTCTAGCAGGGTTTGTAGACCTCGCTGTCTCGAATAATCAGCTCATGCCATCTAATAATGTTTCTAATTTGATTAGCAACACTTTGTCCATTAACAAAGTACCGTACACCTCTCAGCCAGAATATAAACAAGGCTTTCCAACTTGGGTGAAGCCCGGGGATCGGAAGCTCTTGCAGTCGTCTTCTCCTAAGGCAGATATTGTGGTGGCAAAAGACGGTTCAGGGAATTACAAGACCATAAATGAGGCAATATCTGCAGCTTCAAAGAGAAAAGGGAGCGGGAGGTATGTGATATATGTGAAGGCAGGGAGCTACAAGGAAAATGTTCAGATAAAGTTGAATAATATCATGTTGTTGGGAGATGGCATAGGAAAGACAATCATTACAGGAAGCAAAAGTGTTGGCGGGGGTACTACAACCTTCAATTCAGCTACAGTTGGTAAGTAAAATTAGCTTCAATTCTTTATTATGTTCTACGAAACATTTTTTTGGCTTGATGATAAATTCAATGGGGTCACCGGTCACAAATAATAAGAAAATTTGTATCTCATAATAAAAAAAGTGAACAAGTCACTTGTAATATATGTAATTTACTAGTTTGTTTGAAAATAGATGTGAGAGAGTCAAAAAGAGAAGTACGTAGTAAATTATTATAAGAATGATTAGATGGTAGTAGTAGTACTGGCTAGGCAAAGCGTAAAGTTTGATAGTCATTAAGTTCATTGACTGGGAGGGTAAGCTAATTTGTCGAGTTTTATTTCACTGGTGATAGACAATGATCATGTCATCTAGATACTTACAAGATTAACATTTTTCCTCCACTTGTCTTAACTATGGACTACGATGACGATCAACTAGTTTGAACATGTTAGATTGTGGTACGAAACTGTTCTTTTCCGTTGTCTTCTTATATTGGCCAAAGAATATTTGCAAAGTCAGCAATTACACACACGCAACTAAGCTATTTACAATACATAACAGTTTTGATTTTTTATTTTCTTCATTGTAGCTGTGGTCGGAGATGGGTTTATTGCCCAAGGCATAACATTCGAAAACACTGCCGGTCTAACAAGTGGGCAAGCCGTGGCACTCCGGTCCGGTTCAGATCTATCTGTGTTTTACAAGTGTAGCTTTGAGGGGAACCAAGACACCCTCTATGTGCACTCTGAAAGGCAATTCTATAGAGAATGTGACATCTATGGAACTGTTGACTTTATTTTTGGCAACGCTGCCGTGGTTATTCAAAATAGTAACATTTATGTTCACAACCACAAAACCAACACAGTTACAGCCCAGGGCCGAACCGACCCAAATCAGAACACAGGAATTTCCATTCATAATTGTAAGGTTACAGCTGCTTCGGACTTAAAACCGGTTCAAAGTTCAGTTAAAACATACCTAGGGAGGCCGTGGAAGCAATATTCTCGAACGGTGTTTATGAAGACATACCTTGATAGCTTAATTAACCCAGCAGGTTGGATGGAATGGAGTGGCGATTTTGCCTTGAAGACTTTGTATTATGGTGAATACATGAACACTGGCCCTGGTGCATCCACTAAAAATAGGGTTAGTTGGGCAGGTTACCATGTGATTACTAGTGCCTCGGAGGCTTCCGAATTCAGTGTTGGGAACTTCATTGCTGGTGGTTCTTGGTTGCCAGCCACCAATGTGCCTTTCACCTCTGGTCTATGATTATTAATAGATTTGTTTGTAACATAATAAATAAATTGGCTGTTGCCCAAAAAAGTAGTGTTTCTTTATATGGAATTGTCAATGGCTCATGAATTGTCATTCTTTGTGAAATTGTTTATATGACTAATAATGGATAAGGTTCTTATATTTGTGTTTGTCTGATTTAGATACTATTGTTGATCATTTTGCTGTTTCTGGTTTGGGAGGTTATTTAATGATTGTAATTTATGAATCTATATAAATATGTCTATCATATTATAAAAAATAAAAAATAAAAAAATTGACCACATATTTTTTGTACTTAGTTATCAACATTGTCGATCCAGTATGATTGTATACTTATTCATTTGTTTGATTAATTGCCAAAGCAAAAAATCCGACTTGTTTCATCGAGATATTGTACATCTTGGTCAATGATAAACTGTTCAAAGGTGGGGAATTATCTTTTTTCTAAAATAAAAGTAGTAACTGAATCCTTTCTTAATCTTTCTTAATCTTCGACAAGAAAAAAAATTTCTTCAATCTTATCATACGAAACTGAAAAATCTAATTGAGAAATATTTACTAAAGAATTACTTTTTTGTTTATTATTGATCTGATTAACGTTGGAAAAAAAAATGCCTGTGAATACAGTAAAGTCCAAAATTTTCTCTGTTATTCAGCTATGTTTCGCACAAATGGTTAGGTTACCATGTCATTTCTAGTGACTTGGAGGCTTCAAATTCCAGTGCTGGGAACACCATTGCTGGTGATTCTTGGTTGCCAGCCAGTCAGCCACCAATGCCTTTCTCCTGTGCTTTATAATTATCATCAGATTTCTTTGTAACATAAATAAATATGTTGTTGCCCAAAAAAATTGTGGAATTGATTAAGGACGTTTGTATGATTGGAAAAATAGTGTTTCTTTATAGAATTCACTAGTAGAAAAAACCATTTGCGAGATAGAACTTTATGTGACGAAGGAGTTGACATTGCACAAGGGTGTTTCGCGCAATGAATTTAAGTCTCCATCGCGCAAGTTCATTGCACAAAAAGTAAAGTACCTAACATTTTTTTTTGGTAAAGGGAAAACTTCATAGAAAAGAAAGGCACAAGGCCAAACAACAAGCAGAGAAAAGACTCCGCAACACCAGAGAAACAGAGACAACGATAAATAGGATCGAGAGAGAAGCCACCACACCAAGTACCAGTTTTGCCCTATCTATCAGTGCACAGAAACCCCTATCTTACAAAAGAGGACATGGGAGACCGTCTTTATTCAAAATGCCAACTAACGAAGATGGAGGTCGTACAACCCAGCCGAAGCCGCACATCTACGGTGAAATATTCCTCGCGAAAAAATCCACCTCCATATTTGCTGATCGTGGAGTCCACGACCAGGAGCATGATTGAAAGCTCCTCCTAACCTCCAAAACACGGCTAAGAATTGGGAGGAGGTCCCAATCACAACTCAGAAAAGGAGAATTGAGGGACCGAATAATGACTTGAGCATCCGACTCAATTACCACCTCCTGCACTTGTAAAATTTTTGCCAATAAGCACCCTTCCAGAACAGCTAATGCTTCTGCCATCCCAACCGAAGACGCATGCACCCAGACACTCTTCATTGCCCTGCAACCCGAGAAACAGTCTCAAACCACAATCCCAATCTGCTCGTATAGAGAGTCTTTATTCCAACACGCATCAACATTCACCTTAAACCAATTAACTAGGGGAGGAGACCAAAGAGCAAGATGGTGCATACCTCTAAGAAGGCTGTTTCAGACAATAGACAACAAATGTAGAGAAGATGAGGCATGCTTAAAAGATTCCAAGGCAATGATGATAGCCTGATGAGTTCTGAAAGGAGAAGGTTTTACACCGTTGAAAACAACATCATAACGGGCTCTCCAAATAAACCAACATGTAAAAACCAGGTCTGCCATAAAACGAACAAGATCCTCCTTACAACCCTGATTTTGATTTATCCCCAAGCACAACCAATCAGCCTAAGTAGTGATTGAGCTTCGATTAATCTAAAGACTTATCGGTCCCCCATTCCAAACTTTGGAAACCCATGGACACAGAAGGATAATATGCTCCATGGTCTCCTCACTTTCGTTACAAATTGGGCAGAGGGGGGATGTGGCACACCTACATTGAAACATATTAGATTTAGTGGCACAAGCATCCTGAAGAGCCCTTCATAAGAAGTTTCTCATCTTTGGGGGGGCCTTACAACTCCAAATCCAAGCCCAAACCTGAGGGTCAACACTTCGAGAAGAGGAAGGGCGATCAAGGTTTATACTGGGATGTTGACTTTGACATCTCCAATATCCAGACTTAACTGAAAAAGAGCCATTTCGTTCAAACGGCCAAACAAGCTTATCAGGACTCATAATTGGCCCACATAAATTCGAGAAATGGCATCACGCTTCGTTTCCGAGATAACGTTAGAAAGAAGGTCAAAATTCCAATCCCTCGAGACCGGATCAACAAACTCCGTAACCTTGCACTCCCTAATGATAGCCGAGTGATTAAGAAGGGTGGGGTGCCCCCCCTAAGATGCCCAAGACCCAATTATCCTCCCAAAACCAAACCTTCATCCCTCCCATAATCTGCCATCTAGCATCTTTTAGAATAAGATCCCTCCCCTCTAACAAACTCGCCCATGCCCAAGAGGCCATTCCACTCTTTTTAGTTTCCAAGAAAGAAACATTAGGGAAATATCGCTATTTCAAAACACGAGCCCATAGGGAGTTAGGATCATGAATCAACCGCCAACACTGCTTCGCAAGAAGGACAAAATTAAAATCATTCAAGTTGCGGAAACCCAAACCACCCTCCATTTTTTACCGACCCAAATCCTTCCAATTAACCCAATACATCCCACGATCCCTTTCTGCTCCCGCCCACCAAAACCTCGCCACTGCCATATCAATATCTTTGCACAAACTCACTGGCAATCGGAAAACACACATTGGGTACATAGGAATAGCCCTGTACCACCGCTTTTATGAGAACTTCCTTCCCCGCTTGAGAAAGAAATCACCATTTCCAACCAGTAATCTTTGTCAATATCCGATCCTTGATAAACTGTAAGGTCTCCTTCTTCGATCTCCCCCAAATTGTTGGTAAAGCCAAATATTTCCCGGGGTTGTCCACCTTGGCATTTCTAAGATATTACAAAGCTCTGAGGCCAGATGGGCAGGAGTATTCGCCCCAAAATAAACCACTGATTCTAAAGGCTAACCTGCTGCTCAAACGCTCTACAGTACACATGGAGAAGGGAAGAAAAATTCTTACAATTCTATTTGGTAGCTAAAAGAAATATTAGAGTGTCATCAACAAACAATAAATGTGATAGCATAGGTCCCGAAGTAGATATCCTGATGCCCTCCAAATATCCCTGCTGAACCACCTTACTGACTACCAGAGAAAGAACCTCACTGAGAAAGAGGAACAAGTAGGGGGATATGGGATCCTCCTGACGAAGGCCCCTTGTTGGTTTAAAAGCTCTCCCTGGCCTCCCATTGATTAGAATAGATAACTCAACAGTTTTAATGCACCTCATAACTATAGCAATCCATAATTGCTGGAAACTGAGTTGCACCATAACTGCCTCCAGGAAATCCCATTCTACCCGATCATAACCCTTGTTCATATCAATTTTGATCCATATTTTGAACTTTGTCTTCGTTCTTCTCAACTTAAGGAAATGAAAAATTTCATGAGCCAAGATGATATTATCTTATATTTGTCTGCCTTTGATGAATGCATTTTGATTCGGTGAAATTATTTTATCCAACATTGGTTTCAAACGATTTGCCAAAATCTTAGATAGAACCTTATAAGAAAAATTACATAGGCTTATGGGCCTAAACTGATTAACCCCTTCCGGGTTTGGGACCTTAGGAATCAAAGCAATATAGGTAGAGTTGATAATAGAGGGACAACCATCACCCTCTAGGCAATCGGGAACTATACCATGGACCTCAGCCGCAATAATATCCCAATAGGATTAGAAAAACAAACCTTGAAACCCATCAGGTCCAGGCGCCTTAGACCCTCCCATGTTGAACACAACATCTTTGATGTCCTCATCGGAAATAGGACTACTTAAAGTCTCTCATTCATTTCATCCGTTACCACCGGGTCCAGGCAACTAAGGATATCCCCCCAATCTAGATTGCTATCAGACGTAAATAATCTTTTAAAGTGATCTTCCACCATCACTCTAACTCCAGAATGACCATCCTGCCAAATGCCGTCCTCATTCTGGATTCGGGCTAATTTGTTCCGTCGACACCTTAGAACTGTAGATTAATGAAAAAAAGGAATGTTCGAGTCATCGGCCTGTAACCATCGGATTCTAGATCTGGTTGTCCAATACATTTCCTCTTGAGCCTCAAACCGGTTAATAGTTGCCAAGACCTCACCAATTTCTTCACCATTTTCCTCCCAATTCCGTTGAAGATGCCCAAGATGAGAGTTCAACCCTTGGAGCTCGAGCTTTCGAGTTTTGAACTTATCTGAACTCCAGCTTATTAAGCCTCTTCTTGTGGCGTTAATCTTCAATTGCCAATTTTTCACCCCTATCAACACTTCCCACATTCCAGCATCTTGCTATAGTTTCTCTACATCCCTCATTTTACACCAAAAAGCCTCGAAAACGGAACATCGATTTACATTTAGGAACCAGTGGGTCAGTATTAAGTACTAGAGGACAGTGATTCGACGGCCTGACGTTTTCATGAATAATCAGCCAATTTGGCCATCGAATCTGCCAGCTTCCATTAATTAATCCCCGGTCTAACCTTTCCTGCACCAAACTACCATTCATGTTCCCTTCCAAGTAAACTTAGGCCCTGAGAAGCCAAGATCCAACAATTCCATATTATTAAAAAAGGATTGTAAATAGGGAATAACTATACAATGCCATTAGATCCCACCAGATTTTTCATCTTTTGATAGTAGCTCATTGAAGTCTCCAGCACAGAACTAGCTCAGCTCATCCGTAATCCACGGCCAAAAGTCATTTTTCTCATTTTTATATGGTGTGCCATATATCCATAAGGCATGAAACTACTTATCTTCTGATATGCGCATCTCTGTATAGATCAAATTCCTGTTAGACGACATAATTTTAACCTCCAAATTGTCATCCCACCAC